GGCTTTAGACGATTCGTTCATTTAAAAGATTCATTCACAGATGGACTGGCACTGGCATGTTTTTTACAGCCTTTGTTCGTGAACTATGGTCTATTTCCCTGTTGATCGAGAGGGGGACTTTCATCATGTGAGTCAATCTTGTTCACAACAGTCAAGCAGAGTAAGGGGGCGTTAGAATTATGAATGTGTAAACCTGACATGACTGATAAACAAATTAAAAAGACGCTAAGACGTTATTTAGACTTTGTTTTCTATGTCTGAAGTGAGCAGATGTTGGGAGTATGGAGGAAAAATTGTGGTAAAATAATCCTTTGTGTGGATATGTGTGTGTTTTCAATGCATTCTGCAAGGGTGGTGCATCCAGAGCCGTGTAAACACTGACCACCCCATTACTGGACTTTAACTTAAGTGTCACAAGGCTATTGTGGCACCTCCTCCTACTGTTTTGGGATGCACTCTTGATGAATCCACAAACATCTTGTAACTGGCTAGCTCGAAAACTTCTCTCTGCCCTATGGTCAACTGTAGTCAATCATTTCTCACTCAGTACACAGGCTCTAGTGTATAAACAGTTCTCTAATGATTTTGTCAGGTCTTAAAAGAGCTTCAGAATTGCCAGGAACAGTGTGCAGGTACGTTCTCATAAACTCAATGAAGGCTGTGTAAGGATGGTGTTTGAAAAGGGATCTCAAGGACACTGATGTTGTGATAGAAAGTATTATGTATTGACTTTGTTTCTAGTTGACTACAATTGGTCATTTAGTTGTGGCTGTCTTATAAGCTTTTTTTTCAGCCTTTTTTTTTTACTTTAAGCATTTTAATCTGCATAGCCTATGCAGCCCGTTACATTATTTCTGATTGTAATATTCAATAAATATGATAAATAATATAAAGGAAATGTCAAATAATAACGCAATATAGCACACATTTTATGATATAATTAGTCAATATTCTGAGATCATCTGCATCAGTTAATTATTGTCCTACCTTTCCAGCTTGGGAAATTATCAGAAGTTGTTTGCCTCAGTCCCAGAATGTACCAGTATTTTGAGTAAATTTAGAAAACATTAAATATTTTTGGGTCACTGAAAAGATGAAATATTTTAGAAAAAATGTTAGAGTCGCCAAATCCATGGCAATGCACAATTGTGAGTGAAATAGTGGGAGTAACGTTTTTCGGGAACCTCTAATGTTACCTTGTCAGATTTGGTGACCATGCTGTTTATCTACATCTGTTCACATCAGACCAAAATGCTTTTTGAGGTTTAAAACAGAGGAGATTAGACATCACCAGAGTGAATTTGGGTAACATTAATGTAATTGTGTGTGAAATAAAGGGGGGTACAGATTTTGGTAAAAAATGTAAAAAAGAGCTGTATATCTGCAGCTGTTCATATCAGAAAAATGCTTTCTAGACATCACCAGAGTGAATTTGAAAGCTGTAATTTTCATGCTGTTTTGTCAGTGTGTTAATACTGATGTAAGGAACACTTTAATTACTGGTTTCTTAAAATTCAAACATAACACATTTGTTGGTCAATGATATTTTTCAATTATATTTAGTGATACTAATCTGTCTGTTTTATATCTCTTTATCCCCTCAGGTATTAAGTGGTTCTCTTCATCTGATGTGGATAGTTTGATTGGTTTATGGCTCTCTCACGTTTTTTTCACCTGCAGCACCCACTGTGGGTGAGCTTAGCATCACTGTGCTCTCGCAGTATGTCGTCATTAGACACTCGAGCCCGGGCTGTGTTTTCTGCAGCGGTTGAAGGTGTGCAACCAGACATAGTGGTCCGCAGGAGTCTGGAGCGACATGGAGACAAACTACTTGTAAATGGACAGAGTTTCACACTTACCAATAACCTTTATCTGGTGGGCTTTGGAAAGGCTGTGCTGGGGATGGCAGCAGAAGCGGAGAGGATTGTAGGAGACCATCTAATTAAAGGGGTGGTCAGTGTGCCTCATGGTATCCAGAAAACACTACACAATCATGGGAAAGAGTAAGTATTTTAGTGCTTTTTTACATTACATATTTTAATGTGCTTCTGTTTAATGAGCAATTTATACAGAAATAAACTGGGATTTTCACTAGTTGGTCAGTGGTTGCCCAAAAAATGTAGTAAGAGTACACTACTGTAATGTGAAATATTCTCATGATACTGTAATGACGATAAATTGGTTTATTATTAATTAATGATTAATTATTTAAATTGTAGTTTTAAGTATTTGGTTTACCTACTTTATGCTGATTTAAATAAAAAATCCAGAATATTTTTTTTACTATTATTGTACTATTCGTTCGTTCATTCATTCATTCATTTTATTAATTTTATTTATTTATTTTTACATAATAATAATAACCCTGCAAATAGGTTTCATGCAAAATATAATATATAGTCATGTAGCCCTGATGTCAAACTGGCTTCAGAGTTTTCAGCTTGTATTTGGCTGCACACAGTACAGTCTGGATGTTACTGAAAATCTGTTTGTATGTCCGGACAGGAAGATGCTCCTTGAGAATAACAGCAGAATTACAGTGATGGAAGGAGCAAAGAACAATTTACCGGATGCAGATGCCCAGAAGTCAGCAGAGTGTATTCGAGAACTGGCCAGCGGTCTGACTGAGAAAGATCTGCTGCTCGTGCTCATCTCTGGTACTTTTAACTTATTTTCTTCATATAGAATCACTTTTCTAATTCTAATTCTAATCATTGTAATTTGGCACTCAAGAAAAATGATCAATGTTAAAAACGGCTTAATATTTGTGTGGAAACAGTGATACATTTTTTTTTTTTTTAGGATTCTTTGATGAAAAGATTTATTTAATCAAATAAAGATTTTTTTATTTGAAATAAAAAATATTTTGTAACATTGTAAATGTCTTTGTTGTCACTTTTGACCAATTTAATCAATCTTTACTGAATAAAATATTACTTTGTTTAAAAAAAAACATACTGACCCAAAACATTTGAAATGTGGTGTATTTTCTGAAAGATCTTGAAATGTTCATGTTTTTTCTTTATATTCATCTATGCGCAGGTGGTGGTTCTGCTCTTTTACCTGCTCCAGCCCCACCCATGTCCTTGCAGGAGAAACAGGATGTGACACAAAAACTTGCAGCAGCAGGGGCCACTATTCAGGAGTTAAATACAGTAAGGCGAGCCCTGTCATTGTTGAAGGGTGGAGGTCTTGCCCAATGTGCCAACCCAGCCCAGGTAACACTATTACATAACCAAAAGAAAACATGCAGCACAGTTTTTTGAGCAATACTCCATGATGTTTGTTGAGCATAATTTTTACTTTGACACCACATTCTCCTTAAGGTAGTGGCATTGATTCTGTCAGATGTTATTGGAGATCCTCTGGATTTGATAGCCAGCGGTCCAACAGTCAGGAGTGACTTCAAGCCAGAGGAGGTCTGGGCTATCTTGGAACGTTATAAGCTCTCTTACTCTCTTCCTTCCTCCATGAATGAGGTGCTTAGTAAAGCTAGACCCCATTATGGGTTGCAGGTCCAAGAACAGCCAGAAGAAGTCCAAGACCATGTTTTAAACGTCGTAATTGGCTCAAACACTATTGCTCTTGAATGTGCCAGCCGTAAGGCTGTTGAATTAGGACTTCGACCCGTCATTCTGTCTCCAGGAGTATGTGGTGACGTTCGCTCTGTTGCACGACTATACGGGCTGCTCTCACGTTTTGCGTGTTACCCAGAGAAGGAAACTCCTCCAGAACTCGCTGCAGAGATCCTTCAGCTTGGACCAGAGGTTGGGGTAGAAAGCTGGGACTTGTGTCGCACCATGAACGTGCTCGTAGAGGAGAGGAAGGAAGGCTGGGGTGCGACCTGTCTTCTGGCTGGAGGGGAACCCACTGTGCAACTGACAGGAAAGGGCAGGGGAGGGAGGAACCAGGAGTTGGCTCTGCGGGTGGGGCTTGAGCTCAATAGTGATGAAGTAAAGAGTGGTGCGGTGTTCCTCAGTGGAGGAACCGATGGACAGGATGGCCCCACTGAGGCAGCTGGTGCCGTCACTGACGGGGAATTGATGAAAGAGGCCATGTCTCAAAGTCTGGACATTGATGGCTTTCTCACCAATAATGATTCGTTCACATTTTTCTCACAGCTCACTGAAGGACGACGGTTACTCATGCCTGGACTGACAGGAACCAATGTGATGGATGTGCATGCTATGCTGCTGCCACCATCACCCCAAAGAGACTTCCAATAATTTGACTCCAGGTTTCTTTTGTGTTTGGAAGCAATAAAATTATAGAGGGATATTTTTTTCACTAAGGTGTTTCACTTTTTAAGATTTTTTCATAATATCTCTTATTTTAACCACTAATGTTTTTTTTTTCTTGTCATGGATGACTCCTGCTTGGTCCTGAACCAAAGTAAGGTTCATTTCAATGTGTATTGTTATACACTGACTATAATACAATTTACTTATGAAATAAATAACAGTAAACTAATACACAATCAGATACAAATTGTATTTATTATTTGCACTGCAAAAAGACAGCAGTAACCTCTTGGACTGAAAGCATGCTAGAGGCACACTTGATGTATTTTTTATCTCTGTAGTCAATTCTATTTTCTTACAACACTGAAATGAAATGTTTGATTTCTACATACAGACCAGATGACTATGTGAACATTTGGGACCTTCGTTCTGAGTAGTATTCCTGTCAGTTTTTTTTTGTCATATGATACTGTGTGAGAATGGTTCAAGTTTTGCTATCTTCAACTTCCAATTCAATTCAAATAAATTAAAGCATTCTAAAAAAAATCAGAGCTGCTATTTATCACAGCATGCTCCTTTAATGCTTTCTTTCCTGTGCACAGCACCATTCTGTCAGGTATTTTAGAGCATATATTCATGTGTTTGGACCTTGAGTTTTGCACCACAGTTCATCACAGACAGCTTCACAAGTAAAACTGATTCACTGGCACAAGCTATGATTATTTAGTCTTCTTGAAGGATTGTAATTGCCTTTCTCCATCTTATGTGTCTGTGATCTTAGTCCAGTTGCAGGTACATCACTCACGGTGGGTTTTCATGGCATCGCCAGCTGCACTTTCCCTAGGAAAATGGAAAATATTAGACTTGAAAATGGAACAGCAGTTTACAACATGGGTATGCATAAATTACTTTTTAAACCAAATACTGATGTGTTTAGAATTTCATGCCACTTTTTTCAATAATGTTTTATTAATAGTGCTTTTTATTACATTTGAATTAAAGCATGTGTCTGTCTATCCTCTGTACACTTCAAATCCTATGATCTCACTCAACGGTTCCCGGTATTCTGAAATTTTGTACTACCTGCAACCTGCAGGTAAAACAGTCATATTTTAAGCTAAAATGGGTAGCATGTGTTGTGAGGCACAAGAGAAGCTGTCAGATATAGTACCATAGTGTGAGATGTTAAAAATATAGGTACTTGTCAGCGGAAAAAACTCTTCAGAATGTTCTGCCTACCAGCATAACATTCATATGATGTGGTATAACAGCAGGCTTCACCAAGCTCCTAAAACCATGCAAATATAGCGCTGGCATCATATACTGATAAGTAGCATATATGTACAGGACACTGGCTTATTACAAAATGCACAAGTGACTTAGAACTCGTCCACACACGCATTATTTGGCCATATTCAGAATTAGAATTAGGAAATCAGTAAGCAACGATCAATTAAATTCCAAGTCTTTTGTTAATTTGTCACGTGACAGACTTAAAATTAACGAATCATTCATGAACACTAGAAAGGCTGGTTACTTAATTTGGTCCCACTTTATATTAAGTGTCCCTAATACCTGTGTACTTGCATAGTAACTACATGTGTACATAGTATGTGTAAGTACACATTGGTACATAGTATCTACAGCTGTAATATTTCTGTAACTACACACATATAACAACCCCTTTTGGATGGTTTGTGTAAGTACAAATGTGTAACAGGACATTGGTAACAACACTTTTTTTCACTTCACTAAGTACTAGTGTAGCTGGAATTATATAACTACATTTTGTAACAACATGTATAAGAGTAATTGGAACCATTTGATCCAGGGGGTGGAGATGGGTAGGTTTAGGGGTGGAAATGGGATCCAGGGGGTGGAGATGGGTAGGTTTAGGGGTGGAAATGGGATCCAGGGGGTGGTGAAGGGTAGGTTTAGGGGTGGAAATGGGATCCAGGGGGGGGAGATGGGCAGGTTTAGGGGTGGAAATGGGATCCAGGGGGTGGTGAAGGGTAGGTTTAGGGATATGTAAAGTGGGAGGACTTGGATGTCGAGTTGGAGTTGGTGCACCACTGTAATACCAGTGTACTTGCATGGTAACTCCTCAGGAACTGTCCACTTAATATAAAGTGTAACATTCTGGACACCAACCACAATTTATATGTAAAGCCTAACTTACTGGCCGCTGCTGTGTAACATCAGAGTAATTACATGATAAATCTAATATAAAGTGTAACACTTTCTTTACCGAAAAGTGCTGTTAGTCCTGTTACACACTTGTACTTTCATTACCAAAAAGTGTTGTTACCAATGTCCTGTTACACATTTGTACTGACACATACCATTCAGTGGGTTGTTACATATGTGTACTTACACAAACATTACAGCTGTAGATACTATGCACCAATGTGTACTTACACTGTGGTTACATACTACGTACACATCTAGTTACTATGTAAGACACAGGTATTAGAGACACTTAATATAAAGTGGGGCCCTTAATTCTTACCATCCGCTCAGGTGAGGCGCAGTGTCAGGAGTCCCGCCATTCTGCCCTCCAGTCCCTGAAGAATTATTACAATTATATTTAGTCCAATTACTACCTTTTAAGGGGCGCAAAATACATGTATATACAGTCACAAAATTGTATTCAACTGTCGTTTTATAGGAATTATTATTGATTAGGTGGAGCAACATAATGGAGCACCTCTAAATACTCACCCTGTCTGTAGTACATATCGTTGACAGTGTTCCCGTACACTTTCCAGGCAAAGTGGATGGCTACGAGACTAATGATGAGCCAGGTGAACAGTATCTTAAACACTGCAACTCTCATGTCGTTGGCCAGCCAATCGTCCACAAATTCGGACAGAAAGGACACCAGACTGTCAACCATTCGAGACAAGAATTCAAAATCCCACGATTCCTCCATGTCGTGTGTTTTTTCTCTCTCTTACATTCTAGTGTCTGGTTCTAAACTAGATAGCCAGTGCTTTCAGAGAATGTATGTAATTGAGCATTCATCTTTAAAGTAAACAAAGCTGAGCCGCTGTCTTCTTCGCAGAGCGATGTGATCAACCTGAGGTTTGAAAATAATCGCGATGTCATCATCGCCATCTGTCGGCCTGGGGTGAGTGTTCAGATACAGTATATTAAAATAGTATATTCTTCTAAGATTAGATTATTCTAAAATATTAAGATTAGTCTATATTAAGATTCTCCATAGAAATTAGCAACTATATGGTCGCTTCTTCAATTTTATCAACTGTATATTTATGATCACGTGTGTCATTTTTGTAGCCAAAAAAAAAATCAGATTTTTTTCTTTTTATTATCGATTAAAATTTTCCAGGTTTTCAAATTTGTATTTTATATAGGCTATAGTTGGATAGTTGTTTTATCCTTGTCCCAGACCAAGACTTTATAAGTTAGGACAATTATAATATGAATTATATATATTATAGGCTATATTACATATATGTTTTAAACTATGATGATAAACTAATTTGATTTATTTTGTGTGTGTGAATATATATATATATATATATATATATATAAAGGTGCATCTCAATGAATTAGAATGTCGTGGAAAAGTTCATTTATTTCAGTAATTCAACAATTCAACAACTTGTGTATTAACCAGCGTTTTGGTGCTTGACTGGCCAGCAAACTCCACAAACCTGAACCCCACAGAGCAGCTATGGGGTATTGTCAAGAGGAAAATGAGAAACAAGAGACCAAAAATTGCAGATGAGCTGAAGGCCACTATCAAAGAAACCTGGGCTTCCATACCACCTCAGCAGTGCCACAAACTGATCACCTCCATGCCACGCCGGATTGAGGCAGTAATTAAAGCAAAAGGAGCCCCTACCAAGTATTGAGTACATGTACAGTAAATGAACATACTTTCCAGAAGGCCAACAATTCACTAAAAAAATTTTTTTATTGGTCTTATGAAGTATTCTAATTCGTTGAGATAGTGAATTGGTGGGTTTTTGTTAAATGTGAGCCAAAATCATCACAATTAAAAGAACCAAAGACTTAAACTACTTCAGTCTGTGTGCATTGAATTTATTTAATACACAAGTTTCACAATTTGAGTTGAATTACTGAAATAAATGAACTTTTCCATGATTCTAATCTATTGAGATGCACCTGTATGTATATATATATATATATAATGGCTGCCCCACAGTTGTAAAGTCATTCCCATCACAGACTAAACCACATACGAAACATACATATTTGAAGCAATCAAATTTATGATGATTTTGGAATTTTAGAAATGTTCATGATATGAAAATTCATGACTTTGATTCTCCTTATGTGATAAATTAGTGGTATAATTGAAAATTAAAGTTTGTGAGAGTGTGACGGAATATGTATTATGTTTAAAGAGAATTTGTTGGATTAATGATGGATGGATATATAGTTATTGTACATATATAGTTATAATACATGGAAAAATTGAACAGGTTTCATCATATAAATACTTGGGTTCCTTACTTGGGACAGTTCATTATGCTGGTCTTCTCACATCAACAGTCTGTGTTCTAGACTGCAACAGAGGTTATATTTTTTTTGCGAAGATTAAAAGTATTTGGGGTAAATCAGAAGATTTTATTTCTGTTCTATCAGTCTGTTTTTGAGAGTTTGATAAGAAATGGTATTACAGCATGGTATGGAAACCTGACTGTCCAATTAAAATCGAAACTTGCTCGACTTGTATATGCTGCTCTAAAAATTGTAGGTTGGGAAGCGAAATGGCCTATACAGGAGATGTATGAGGTATCTGTTTTAAGACAAGCTAAGAACAGTTTTGCAGATGACACACATATTTTACATGGAATATGTTACCCTCAGGGAGACGTTTGAGGACTTTGATGTCCAATTCAAATCGCTACAAAAATTATTTTGTGCCAACTGCGGTTAAATTATTCAATAGAGAATTGCACAAATTAGATGCTTTATTGGTATACTATAGATTTTAATTTGAGTTTGTGTGAGTTTTATGTTGTGTACTGGCCAGATCATGCTTGTCCAAGATGAATATCCCTCAAACGGGACATTAAAGTATATTCATATATTTATTCATTTAGTGAAAGCATCAGGTCCAAACTACTGTTTCCTACACATCCTGGGCACAAGGGGATGGAGATTCTGAAGAGTGGAATGTCTTGATTTGCAGCTTATGCACCCTATTATGGAATTAAACCTATTTACCATAGTAATAATCTTTCAGTATTGTTTACCTGGTTTGGAGTTGTGAATGCTGTGCTGTAACATGCAGAGAAGTGAAACCTGGCAGCAAATGTGACTGGTGAGAGGCTTAAAATATGTAAGTGTATTTTTCTAAGTGTATTTTCTTTGAAGTACATATTTCATTTGCAGATTGACACTCTTAAGAATGAGGCGGGACCTGTTTGGCAAAAGTTACCATATAACCCAGTATTGTCCATAGTGTTTTCAGTAATTTAATATCAATGCACCGAAGCTAAAGAATTAATAGCTCCCTTAAAGGGATAGTTCACACAAAAATGAAAATTCTGTCATCAATTACTCACCCTCGTGTTGTTCTAAACCCGTAAGAGCTTCGTTCATCTTCGGAAACACAAATTAAGAAATTTTTGATAAAATCCGAGAGCTTTCTGACCCTGCATAGACAGCAATGCAACTGAAATGTTCCCAGGCCCAGAAAGGTAGTAAGGACGAGAATACTTTTTGTGCGCAAAGAAAACAAAAACAACTTTATTCAACAATTTCTTCTCTTCCGTGTCAGTCTTTGATGCACATTCACAAGAGTACCATGTTATTTTAGTTTTCTCTGCATACAAAAAGTATTCTTGTAGCAGTATAGCTTCATAAAATTATGGTTGAACCACTGATGGCACATGAACTATTTTAACGATGTCCTTACTACCCTTCTGGGCCTTGAACGTGGTAGTTGCATTGCTGTCTATGCAGGGTCAGAAAGCTCTCGGATTTCATCAAAAATATCTTAATCTGTGGTTCCAAAGATGAACGAAGGTCTTATGGGTTTGGAACCACAAGAGGGTGAGTAATTAAGAACATTTTACAAAATACTGATAAACAGAAAGGTAAAAAAGAAACTGAGCAGAAGTAGGTCAGCTGAGAGAATGTACTCCAATTACGGTGTCATTCCCCACCATCACCTTAATTTCATTTTCTATTTTTATCTTCAAAGCTGAGTAAACTGTCTAATAAAGAGCACATTAGTGCAGCAGTCATTTTGTTGGGAAAACACCAAGTTTATTCAAAATTGATCTACTTTTCAGTTCTTTCTTTGTGTATGTGTGTGTGTGTGTGTGTGTGTGTTCCCCTGTTATAACTCTCTACATGTAAGGACTTTTTAAATCCTCTTTCTTAAACAAGATCACAGACTTCTCTGTTTGAAGTCCGGAAGAAGCGTTGATAACATCTGCACTATGTCATGGTAAATGGAAGCTCTGCACTCTTTTCTGCATAGAGAAAGATGCATTGCAGTTGTCTTTCACTTTTCAGACTTATATTCCAATTACAGGAACCCATTTCAGTGATTTTGTTTTATGTATATATCATTTTTTCCTGTACTAAATTATCCCATATCATTAATTGCTTCTCAACTGATGATAAAGAGTAAAACAGAGCACACTTATTCTCCACACGTCTAACATACCCTTTTTTTTCCCTGTAAACAGCAGACCAGTAAACCAAGGAACCTCATCTATTCTGCCCTAAATGTGTCAGACCTACCTGTTTTCAGTACTGCTACATAAGAGTAGGTTTTTCCTATGCAAAACATCTCTGAGTCATTAGAATACACAGAGAGAGCACCTTCACATGTTACACTTGAGTGTGTCATTTAATTTGATTGCTTCAAAGATCAGTCAAATAAATTAATATCAGACCTGATGTTGTCATGAAGCAAATGTAAACTGTGGGATGCTTTGTCTTTTCAAATTTTGGGTGAAAAAGATTGAATGAAAGTGACAGCAAATAGTTATCTTGAAAACGTAATGAAAGAACTGAATTAATACCATCAGATAAGTCTCTGAATTTGGCATGTTAGAAATATTAAATGGCTGTCCAATAAGATCATAATTAAATTTGATAAATCATAATTTACATCCATGTTTTCTCTGTCCATATTGTGAGAACATTTACATTCAGAGCCTAGAAAATGAATGTGTTTTAATGAGAAAATATGGGTTTTTGTTGTATTAATACAGCATACATTACAGAAATAAGTGCCAATGATTTCAGAAGAAAATGATACAGTTTTGAGGCAGTCCTTCAAATTTGTGTTTTAAATTTAAACATCTTAAATGTAGAGCATTTTTAGATGTCTTGTTTTATTTTGTAACCATTTGACATGCACCAGTCAGATTCAGAGCAATCGAATTCAACAAATAAAGCTAATGGCTTTTAATAAAATGTTTTTTCATTCAGCTTAAGGCTTTTGACATGATCAATTAAAGAAAACACATAACTGTACAATCCTACATGTTATTTTTCCAATGTGGGTGGCATGTAAATAAGTTACAGTGGGGAAAGTTGCCTTTTCAAACAAGGTTGAAATGTCACCTTTGTCGGTTGCATGGGTAGAGGTTTCAGTCGTTATTTCCTCTCATTTGAGAGTTACGCTCAGTTCCAACACTCTGTAACCGCGTACTGATGTCATGTTCTTTTACATGAAAGTCCTTTCAACTCTTCTGTGTATACTGTTACTTCACCAAAATGCAAGCACATCTTGTCCAGCAGGTATGTATGATTATTGTTGAATACCTGGATTTGGGATTTACTGTTGGGTTTAAATGGATATCGGTCACATAACACCTCATTAAAGATATCTGTTGATTGCAGGTCATAGACAAAGTTATGTTACGAAAAAATGTGAGGCCTGTCCACAAAACCAATACAGATCTACAAGTGGAACATATTTTCACTGTGAGAACTGCAGCAAATGTAAAAAAGGTAAGTGCCTGTTTTTTAGATAGATAGATAGATAGGTTTAGTAACTGAGAATGTTACTGTATAATGCATGTGATGCTGTAAGATACTGTAAACCACTCAATATGTGGCATTTAACTTACACCATTGGATGTGTACAAAAGAAGGCAAAATCAGAGACAAAAACATAATTTCTATTTTCAACAATAACTTACATAGTTTTTCCCCCCTCAGGTAGTAATGAGCTCAATTCTTGCACATCTACAAGTGACACTAAATGCAAATGTAAAAAAGGCTTTACGCCCATTGATTGGATAAAGGAAGAGATTTGCTCTTGTGAAAAAGGTTCGGGAATAGATGAAACAGGTACACATATTAAATCCTGCCTTACTGAATCACATCAAATAATTAAAGAGCATCTCATGAAACATGGACTATGTCTCTCTTCTAGGAATATGCAAAAAATGTGAGGATGGCTTCTTCACATACAAAGAAAACTCGATTTGTCAAAAATGGAGAGAGTAAGTTTTTATGAATAGCAAAAAATTTTCATTTCAAAGGATATATAGTTTGATAGCCTCATGCAAATGCCAATTCAAAGGGCTGTTGTCAAGGGGAGGCAACCAGGAACGATGTCCCCGAGCCCAGAGATACGAAGGGGACCCTATTCAAATGTTATAGCCGACTCATTGAGGGGGAGCATAAAAATTCCCCAGTAAAAAGGTTGAATGAATTTCAGTCATGACCCTAAAGCATATTAATGATCTCAGCAGCTTTGTTTCGATGTATAATAAGCACTCTCTTGTGCAAGTCTGATGATTCGGCACTGAGACTACAAAGGGATAGGTTAGTCAAAGAATGTAAATTGTGTCATCATTTACTCTTCCTCATGTCATTCCCAAAATGTATAATCCCCCCCCCATTTTGAAGAATGTTTTAGCTATTTTGTCCATAAAATAAAACTTTCATTGTATAGGCAAGAAAAATACTAAGATGTTTATCAGAATTTGTGTTATGCAGAAGAAAAGTCAAACAGGTTTATAATGACATCGGCATGCGTAAATGATGACTGAATTTTCATTTTTTTACTGAATTATCCCTTTATAATTTTTTTTATGAAGAGAACTGCATTTAATTTTTTGCTCTGTAGGTGTATAAATGGGATTGTGACCGCAGGCACTGGCACTTCTGATGCTGTCTGCAAACACGCCTCGAAAGAGGTGAAAGAAGCTCCCACAAAAGAGGGGAATGAAGCTCCTACGAAAGAGGTGAAAGAAGCTCCCACAAAAGAGGGGAATGAAGCTCCTACGAAAGAGGTTAAAGAAGCTCCCACGAAAGAGGTGAAAGAACCCCCTAAAGCCCACATTACCCCATTCCAGGCAACCACAATCTCTTCTACGACCACTTCAAGAATTACAGACTCTTCTAACAACATACAAAAAAACAGCCTCTACAGTTTGTGTAATCTTCCTTTATTGCTTCCAGATTTAGTAATCCATTACAATTTGTTTCTTTCTTGATAAGATTTAATTCATATTTCATTTTAGGGCTGGTCATGCTATGCGCTGCTATTTTTCTGCTGGCTGGACTCCTGTACCACAAGTGTAAAGTCACCCACTGTATTCATAACCACAAGAAAGTGGATTTTCGAAAAGGTGGAGTACCCTTAGTTTATCATACGACCACGTGTGTGTGTGTGTGGCTACACTATATTCATCCTTCTTACATTTATTTTCTCTAGAAAGTGTATGCAGAAAGCCTGTTGAAGAATCTGGGGAAAAGTGCCAGTCTTTGCTTGTCTAACGCTGTTGTTAATGGCCTCAGTGTTTCTTTTTGTGGAATATTTTGTATGCATGCAATATTGGTTGTTTTATAACTAGTTTAATTGCTGTTAACTTCATTAAATCTCCACTTAATAACACCACTTAAAGGGATAGTTCTGGCATCATTTACTTACCCTCAAGTTGTTTCAACCCTGTATGAGTTTCTTTCTTCTGTTCAACACAAAAGAAGATATTTTGAAGAAGAATGTCGGTAATCAAACATTTGATGGTAGCCAATGACTTTTTTCTTTTTGTACTATGGAAGTCAATGGCTACCGTCAACTCAAAATATTGTCTTTTGTGCTCAACAGAAGAAAGAAAATCATACAGGTTTGGAAAATCTCGAGGGTGAGTAAATGATGACAGAATTTTTATTTTTGGGTGAACTATCCCTTTAAAAAAAAATACAGTCAATGCCTTATTTTAATTGTCTTAAATTGTAGAGCAAAGTTTTTTTTATAATTAATATTATAATTAATATTTTTAATGCGCTTCAGTGGATGTTGTAAGAATTATGAAAATAGTCAAAAGTAGCTTACTTTAGGGGTTTCTTAAGACCCGTTTACACCTGTTTTGGGCAACCGGTTTGAAACCTCCGGGGTCCAAAACAAATTCATCCACATGTGAAGGTGTTCAAAGTCATATTTAAACATTGCGCTTGTAGTGTAAATGCTCATCCATTTGAATTCAGATGGCTAATTTAATATAAGCCGTGAATTGATTTCAATTCATTACTTGGTGATAGATCTACTTCGAAGTCTGCTGATTAGTGAATTTGAAATGCAAACTTCATATTGCCTGAACTTCAGTCGATAGCTGTAGGTAGATCAATGGATGCCATAACCTTATAGAGTCATTTCCATGTTGCCACAGTGACTCGTGCATTCCTGAAAGAAATATGACAAATTACATGAGTTTCCCATATTTAGGTGGGCTAAAGACAACTCTGAGAATATTTTCTTTTTGTGTAGCCTAATTATAAAGATTTAATGTTGTTTCTGTGAAATGGAAATAAATGGGCTGTATAAACCAGTGACATTTCTGTAGGCAGTAATATTTTTTATATTTTATTTTATGTTTGTTATCATTCTGTGAAACGTGTCTGATTATATGGTGTCTAATTTACAACTTTAAATAAAGGACTAAATCTAATATTCTGTAGCATAAATACCAGGCTAATTTTATTTTTGTTGTTGGTCTCAGGTGTTTTGACTGAAATTTTTAAATATTTTTTAATACTTTTCCTTATTTTTGGAAATGTGTTTTTTTTATGTTTTCTTCTTATTGCATTAACTCTGGTATCAATGCTCTGGTCTCAAAACTAAAACTGACATATAAATCATGCATTTTCGTCATGTGGATCTTCGTATTTAAATGCACTTATAGCAACGTCAGAGCTGGTATTGTCCCCTCCTACATTTATGTTTCTTCTGATAGTCGACAACGTCCTCTGCCTCTGTCTCTAGAAACGCAAAACATGTTTCGGTTGAACTTCAAATTTTCCATCCACGCAGTACTAACGTTCCCCTGAAGCTAAATGCCGTTATCCACCTTCCTCTTAAAAAGCCACAAGGCTGTTAACAGTTTAATTTCAAACTTGCATCTGCTTACCTGGTTTTGTGCTAAAGAAAATCTAGTTTGACTACTTGGATAAGGCTTGTGATGACTGAGCCTTTACCAACTATACTGCAGGACTATTTAATTTTTTTGGACAAATATACCAATGAGATGTAGGCTACCTAAAATGAGTTTATGATATTTGTTATTTTTATCATACGATATGTATTAAGGGGGAGATCATTTCTAGATGTTCTTTCTGTTTGATTCATCCGCTGCTCATACACTTGAAGACGTCTCATTTTGTGTCAAAGTGTGAGGCGAGCACCCTGCACAGAACTTTTTGTAAAGGATATGAAATGAGAAGTCAGGTTTTGTTAACCACAAAAATCCCTGACAGACCAGCTCAATCCATGAATTTCAGGAATAAAATTTGAGTAGAAAGCATGTGAAAAACTGTATAGAAAATAAAATCTAAAGTAAATTTTCTGCCCGTGCTCTGCCATGCCTGCATGTCCAACAGAATATTTTTGATACAATCTTTTTGCATTAGTGTCCGAGAGCTCAGTAATCTTGGAACCTGTTCATTTCCTTACTTCATCTGAGAACCACATCCTTTGAATTCTTGTCAAAGAGCCTCACTGCCACGAAGATCAGAGTTTCCCTCACGTTTTTCAGTCGACTTCTTGTAACAGAGAGTAGGTTGTTGCAATATAACATCCAACCATTCTTTTGCTAGGAATAAACTGAAATTATGCATTTAGAGAATCTTTACTGATGTGCACCATCAAATTTAAACATTGATACTACAAACAAAACTTACAGACGCAGTCTATGAAATGGCCTTTGTCTTTTTGGAAAGGTTTTGCAAAATTTTTATCAGAATGTGAATGTAGCCGTGGATGGACATGGAAGGAACATTTCAAACTAAATACAAGAGTCAGTTTTTCTATAGTGCAAAAAATGTAATAATTTGTTGGGTCTATTTTACAGGAAGTGGTTAAAAATATTATTCTATCAAATTATTATATTTGACTTTGAATTGATGCTTTTTAATGTGACTGAGTTTTGTTTTGAACAGTATTTTAAATTACATTTCTATGAATGCTATATGTTTCTGTAAAATGCATATGTGAAATATTTTTTAAAAATTATCACATTAGTTGATATTTTTAATATAAACGTTTTTATATTATTGTATGCTAAAGTTTGCAGCTTTTTGTGTACGTTAAACAGACTCAACAACAACAAAAAACAATTACAAATTCAGTACGTTTTTCATGGTTCAATTGAACTGCTTGCAATAGTTGTATTTTTAGGGTTGAGCTGCATGTATAATTCATGAGCATGACAATATATGGTAACATGAACTCTGTGGTGCACAGTGGGTCCACGCTGGATGTGTAATACGGTGGCTCATCAATTTTAATAGCTTACATAAAACCGAGAAAGAAAGAAAAAAAACAGTGTGAATGTGTCATAGTTAGATGTACGCTTATGTGACGTAAACCTCATGCAGAGCATGACATTTCACATAGACCACTTCAGTCAACTGCACTGAAACGGCAACAGCTCTGCTGGGTGTATCCTTTGCACAAGAGACTTGTGCACATGACACCTGCAAAACGTCTGTTCTTGCATAAAAGACATTCAATTCAGAAGCCAGTATCACTTAAATATCACGTTGATATTTTCAGTTCAACCCTCATTCTCATTTGCAAATACAGAGGTCTTTCGAAGATAACAAACCCCCCCAGCCCCCCCACCACCACCACAGTATTAAAATGATTCTTACTCGGTGATCAAACATATATACACTATGTGCATTGTCACTTCATATTATATTATATTATTTAATATTATATTATATTATATTATCAGCAATTTGTTTCTTTAAAAATTCACAGCTTTTCACTTCACAGAACTTTAATAGATGGACTGGAGTCATGTGGATTACATGTGGATTATTGTGATGTTTTTATCAGGTATTTAATGCTCATTCTGATGGCACCCATTCACTGCAGAGGATCCATTGGTGAGCAAATTATGTAATGCTATATTTCTCAAAAACTGTTCTGATGAACAAACAAACTCATCTACATCTCTGATGACCTGAAGGTGAGTATATTTTCAGCAACTTTACATTTTTGGGTGAATTGTTCCTTTGACATACATGACTTCTATAAAATGGTCCAATCAATCTCATTCAAAAGAGAAGATATCTGCATATAGTGACATTATTTCATAAATGTACACAAGTGCACATTTTTCTCATCTTGTCCACTCCTCTCCACTTGCAAGGTTTTGTAGATCTCAGGCTTTTCCCTCTGAAAAGGGAAATTAAAATAACAAAAGTTCAGATGCGTATGCAAACTATAACCATTTTCATGATTTGTAAAAGATGGATGGATTTAACACTGTCAGTACAGTGACGTGAGATATGAGGAGTTGATATTTGTGGGTGCATGTTGGTCTTTAAATGAAAGGTCATAGCCGACTTGCAAATCTGAGCACACAAAACAAGAACAGAGATTTTTAAGCATTCATCAACTTTCAGTAACTAAAGATGTTCATAGCAATAGTCTTAAATTAATAGACATAAAATAAACTGAACTATTACTATTCTTTTAAATACAGGTCAAGCAAAGGAAAATAATATAGTATCATTCCACTGACATAAAGCAAATGACAATGGAGCAGATCAGCAATGGTAGCTTATGGAAACTATAAAAGGTCATGCATTAGTATTTTTCCCCCTGTATTCTGTATTGACAATGTTATTTTTCCAAGACTTAATTTTAACAAACTGTAACTAATGTTGTTTTCTAGCATTTTTATTGATTCTGAACATGTGGCCAGTAGCTATTGGTAACACTATCTAATAGCCTGTGAGCCATTTCTGACATCAGAGGAACAGGAAAGTCCTTTCAGAGGAAGAGCATATATGTTTATTTACTGTAAAATGGGCTGTGAATGCTATTTCACATTCATTTTAAGTAACCTTACAAATTACAATAAAAAAAACTGTTTCTGACTCAGATGTTGTCAACAGAGGTTTCAGAGATCCTTTCTGATGCTGTGGTCCTTCCTTTTACACTACACACTATAGATTACCTCGATAACGCTGGTGACGGCAATATTTTAGCAGAGCACGTAAGTGGAGAGAAGTTGTCTATCTGACAGTATTTGAATACTTCTGTGAGATACCTGTCAAAACCAGTGAAGATGGTGGTTTGCTTAGGTTTCCTAGATTCTTTGAAACGTCAGTATTACTGTTGATGCAGTGAGCTAGTGGTTGGTCTGTGTGCGCTAGTGGTTGGTGTATGTGGTACTGTGATGCTGGAGAGTTTGATTCCAGCCCATGTCGTGTATAGATTCTACTCTTCTTCTCTTTATCCATCACTTCTTCTCATCTCTGTCACTGTCTCAGAATTTAAAAGTGCCAAAAGTCCTCAAGCAAATATTTGTTGCTGTGTATACTCATGAATTTATGATGGGCCACAGTTGCCCCATCCATCAGAGGCACAAACGTTCCC